CTCTCTCTCTCTCTCTCTCTCTCTCTCTCTCTCTCTCTCTCTCTCCCTTTCCTCTCTCTCTCTCTTTAAAAAATTTTTTTCTCCAGATTTATATGTCATTGTTTTATATTCACACTAATATGAATAACAATCTGATACATTATAAATCTGATATATTATAGGTAGTTAATATTGACAATAATACTCTCAATAGTTTAAAGAAGTCCTCTCCCCCCCCCCCAAATATCTTTAAATATCTCCTTTTTAAAACTTATTAACAGATGTCTATGAATTTTCCTGGATGTTCTTGTATCATAAGCATATTTGATTGAGGTTGTAAACTGCCAAAAATATGGAAACACAGCTGATTTATCAACTGTGTTATCACTATTGTGGAGTTATTTCAAAGAGATGAAACATTTAAATTGAGTCAAACTTTATCTCATAATATTTTGCAGTTGAAACACATATGAATTATTGAAGAACTCCTTCACTAAAATGGAAAAAAAATTATTCTATTGTTTGAAAAATGTTTAGAATATCATTTTTAAAATTTGACAATGAAAGTACAAGTATAAAAGTAAATATTTTCTTCCATAAAATTAGTACATTTAAAATAATTAGAAATGATTATGTTAATACACATGCATATATTTGAAATTAAATAAAGAAATATGTTCTATTTAAAACTTTACAAAGCTGGTCATTGGTGATCTCACTGGCAGTTCAGAGAATTTGGCTTATTAATGTATCTATTAAAGACAGCCCATTCCTCTGTTGGGATTACCATGCCACCTCAAGAGGCCCAAAAACTCAGTTATGCTAGAAAATTCTGTGTCCTACATTTCTGTGAGTACTTGAGACTAATTAGAAATGCTATATCCATTTAAATATATATAATAAACTTATACTTAAAATGTTTAGCTGCCTGAATTTGAAATAGGAATTTAATTTATAACTGGAGAATGAGATTGCTTAATATTTTGGATATGATGGTTTTAAATTGATGTTTATGTGACATCTGACTTAAAATGAAAGTGATTATACATTTTAATTTACTTCCTTCTAATCAGTCTTTATATCAATAATTATTAATCCAAAGAGAAAATATTCTAAAATTAAAAGCTAAGCATTTTGAGAGCAAAAACTTTGCTTGTTAATTTTTGTGTTCTCATGACCTAACAATTTGCTTTGCAAAACAATGAATAAATGTTTACTGAATGATTGATTAATTTAATGAGTGCATAAATGAATACAACCTTTACAAAATAGACATTTGATATTCCCAAAATAAAATTATCTTTAAAAAATAGAAAAGAAAGCACATTGCATTTTTTATAGTTCTAGTAGCCACATATTACATTTTAAAAGACAATTGTAAAATGATATATAGTCGAACAAAATGTAAAATTAAATGTATGTTATGCCTGTTACTTTTCTAATCTACACTATGAAAGAAAGTAATTGGTACTCTCAGATATGCTTGTGAGGTGACAGGAATATTAAACCAATGGTAACACAAGGTGAATGTAGACATTATGTTCAGAGTAATTAACCTCTTGCTCTGTCATCCTTAGAACAATTAAGAACAAATTTATTAATATGGATCCATTGCAACAATATGATGATAATCATCATATGAAGATTTCTTCTGAGACTCTGGTATTTAAAAATAAAAACAAATCAGAAATCAAAGATAACTCAAAGAAAAGATTTCTGTTCTTAGTTATTCAATTGAACCTTCACAACAGGAAGTCCAGTATTTTATCTTTGAGAGTCCCAACCCTGCCAGTTAACCAAGTACACTAATGCCATGCAGTCTAAAATCCTTATCAGATGAACATCAGTATGATCCATTTACCATTGCCCTTATTTCTTTATTCCAAAACAGAGCATAGATAGATAAGCTATTTAATTGTCTAAAGGCCTGTTAGCATTGCACAAATGTACCACATGTATTTACCTAAACAAAGATATCTGTCCCAAAACAAGGGATACTTCCTTTGTTTCAAGTAATATGTTTTAGGTACCATGGAGTCTATCAACACCCTGTTTAATCTCTTTATTAGAAAAAAATTCTCCATCTATTTATCTCAACACTACTTAATATTCGAGGATGAATAATTATTGTCAATGTACTGGGGATCAAACCCAGGGACACATTATCAGGAGCTACTTCCCAAGTCCTTTTTGATTTTTGAGATGGAATCTTGCTAAGTTGCTGAAGGTCACACTAAGTTGCTGAAGCTGTCCTGGAACTGCCTCTGCTTCTCAAGATGGATAATTCTTTGTTGTGAGGTGCTCTCCTGTGTATTGTAGAATATTTAGTTGTATCCATGGCTTTTGCTTCTCCCCTCACGTGTGATAACCAAAATTTGCTCTTATATTGAATACTATCAAAAGTTGCCAGGATTCATAAGAGCAAAAGTACATACCCTTACTGAGAACCACTGATATGCACGTGCATGAGCACGTGCTTGCGTGCGCATGCACACACTCACACACTTTATGAACTATTTCAAAAGTAATCAACAGTTTCAAAATTATTTCAAAGAATGGGTAATTATTTTTTATTCTGATTTTGGAAAAGAGAAAAGAAGCAAACCGTTTTTCTATTTTGAATTTTTGAAGGAGGAAATAACATTCATTATGTTTTGGATTTAGAAAGTGGTTTATCTTTAAATGCTTCCTGAATCAAAGATAAAATTTTACTTGTCAACATGCCCTAACCAGAGAATGTTCTTAATTTTTTAAAAAAATTTATTGATAAGATAAGGCAAAAGTACCACCTACATATTTCTATTTGGATCTTTAAAAGAATTATACTAATGAGAAATAATAACCTCACTAACTACCCACTCCCTTAACCACAGCCACTTATGATATAATAAATAGTCTAAAGAGAAAAAGAGTTGTGCAGAGCTAATCGGGATGAGATTTTTAGCAACTGGAAATCAAGATGAGATTATTCAGCAAATAGGAAAGTTTTAAATTTTGGTCACAGACTGGACCGTTCTGTTTTTCTTAAATTTTTCCTATTCAGTCGACATCCTGACATCCCTACACCACTCTAACCATTTCTATAGCAAAGAAGCTGGTGGTCATTAGCCAAAGCACATGGAACATCCTTAACACCCCACTACAGTTCACCTCCTGAAGGACAGCATAATCAAACCATAAAATAAATCTAACTTGGGACATAAGTGGGAGAATAAGATGGAGAAGCATGTGTCTGATGAGACTTAATTCTGTTGCATCATACAGAAATTTCTCCAACCTTAGGTTTCTTTTGCAATTGTAGCATGTAGATATCTACCAGGATCTCAGGTATGCAAGATATATAATTTTATTTTCTACAAATTCACTTAATTTCCATTTTATTCTCCATTCTGATGGATATAGCAAAAAAGCAATTCCAGTCAATGGGGATCTCTCCCTCTGCCCTTGTAATTCCAACAGAGTGCCAAGGCACAGGTGGTACAAGTAGTCTTGTAGTTACTGATGTCATCCAGTCCCACTGGGTTCTGGTGAGAGAACTGTTTTCTTTGTCATATCACACACAGGGCAGAATATGGGATGCCTTTAGATTCAATTTCAGAAAAAAAAAAAAAAAACTCTGTGCTTTCTGCCATTTAAGAAAGACATAGCATCAAGGTGGATATTAATTTTTTTTTTATTTCCAAAACAATTACTCTGAAGCTTGTTAAAGCTTTAATATGTGCTCACTGTGCACTCAGTTGTGAGGAATTGAACAGACTACAATTTTACAGGATCTTAGATAGATAGCTACAGTATAAAATAATTGAAGGAGGGGTTCTGGTAGAGACCTGCACAGCACACAGTAGGAAGAGTTGTGTTGGGGGCTACTATAACTACCCTGTGGCTCCTCTCTTCCCCTGGAAGCATTCTTAAGTCACCACTCCACAATCCAAATAACCATAGTAAAACATTTTGAAAAACAGTTTTATTGTAAGCTGTTTTAATTTGAATGGCATCAAACTAGTTAAAAGAAAGAATATGCATATTTTGTGAGACTTGAAAAACTAGAATTATTTTTCATCTTTTTCACAAATAATAATTAAGAAGCAACTAAATCCTTGAAAGGATGATTCTTAGTGACCTTCACAGGATTTAATTGTGTGAAAAGTTGCCATTTTCAATGTAATTTAATTCAACAACAAAATATATTTTAATGGACTATTTTGATAAAACATGGATATTTTCACTTTTCTGGTACTACAGAAGTATAGTATGCAAATTAAAAGAGATTTCTGGAAACGTGGAGCAAACCCTAACACTGTCACTGATTGTGCAACACTGTGCTTGTTACTGAGCAACATAGGACCTAAAGCCACTCATTTGTTAAATGCACATTATAAGTGTACCCATTTCAGAAGGTCATTATGCATTTCATACAAGCATGTGCCTTGCTTTAGAAAGTACTCAATAAATCTTTGCAAATATGTTTATGATTTGATTTCAAAATTATAAATACTCATGTGCTGCTTTCACTATAATGGGTCAGGCTACTAATTGTGATTCCACTATGTCTAGGAACATGAAGTAACGAGATAGCAGTAAGTCATGACTATTATTCCAACTCCACACAACATGGTCTTAAAAAGCATGAGTTCTTGAGTTGCACCAACAGAGTTCTGATACTATCATCATCACTTGTTGCACAATTTGGTCAAATCATCTTCTAAGTCTTTCTTGGTATATTGAGGGTTAGGAAAGATAAAATAGGTAAAACCCATTTAGTAATCACTTATAAATGTTAGCTAATATTATTGTTATGTTATCATCAATATTAACAGCTTTTTGTTTTGTTTTGTTTTGTACTATCATTATCTTTTATGCCATAGCCACCATTTTGTTCGGGGTAAGGTACTGAAATTTTATTCATGTGTCTTGACAGGGTTTAAATAACTTTACCAAGATATACCATTAATGCCTCAAAAGAATTGACATTCTACAAATTAATAGGCCTCAATTCCTTAGTGTTAAGGTATGGTAAGTGATACAAATTAAATATCTATAGAACTCATTTGAATGAATGAATGAATAATATATGTTTGGATAAATGAATTAATTATTTGGAGACAAAAAGAAACCTGAAGAAATGGGGAAAAGTTATAATGGTTTATAAGGTTTATGCTGAAATTAATTCACATGTGCTAAAATATGAAATAATTGTAACAAGCTCAGAATTTGAGTGTTTTATTGCTGCTTTCAGTAATTTTGCCATAGATCAGAGTCCAGAGAATGTAGATTTGGTAACACTAAGGTGAGAATTACTTTAAGCATCAAATTTTATATCCAAGTTTGGGTTCTTATTTCTTTTGATTATGAATGTAGAATAAGGAATTTGACTTTGAAAGTACTTACTAAGGAATGATCATACAAGCAAAAACACAAATTCTAGGAACAGAGCCAGGCCCTGATTTCCTCTGTCCCTGGAGTGTTTTATTTAAGGAAACCATTGATTTCTGCCACTACTCTGAAGAAACTCATGTGCGAAGGTGGTCAAAAAAAATCTGCCTCCAATTCAGTTTTCTAGGATTCTTTCCAAGGGGAGATCAACTTCTTTTGGATTAACATATGAGCAGCTTTGTTGAAAGTAGCCTTTTGTACTTTAAGCTCAATTTTAGTTTAACATTTTGAAAAGAAAAGAAAAAAATCTCTGTGATCGTTTCTATGAAGCTTCGAAACTTCAGCTTACTTCATTTTAATATTTAGGACAAGGAAAAATACTAATATAATCAAATGAAGTTTTTCCAAAGGAACTGTCAACAGCCTACCATTTGCCTGAGGCTTACTAGAGGGCATTTCCTTGTGAGACGTTAAAGTACAATTTAAAAACATCTAGCTTTATGCCTTATGATTTGAAGAAAACTGAAAAATCACTCGTAATTTTTACTAATGAGTAAACATACTTTCAAAATGGGCCCAATAGAAAGTAGCACATTTTGCAACTCAAAATAATGGAACCTATGAACTCTTGCCAATAAACTGGAGCATTTTCCAATAATGCATTTGGATATGACATTGCCTTCTTAGAACTAGCCTTAGACTCATACATAAAACATCAGAGAGCAATGTGACATATGCAGAGGATGCTTAATGATATTGCCAAGAGTAATCCTGTGTCTAGCAAGAGAGAAAGTAAACTGTGATGATGTTTAATTTTAATAAAAATGGCCAGTGATGCTACACAATTGGAAACATCTATACATGCATTTTAAATAAGTTACTTATTGTCTTAGCATCATCCAAGAAAAACAAAACTGAAAATGCAGGTAAGCAGAGTGACCTCTTGGAACTTACACTTTTGTAGCAGGAGACTTAAGACCTATGTCTTCTTTGGAATAAATTTACTTGCAATTTTATTTACAAACTTGTGAAGCTCACAGTGTGCTCCCATCATCACTAAGGCAGCAAAGATTCTGAGATCCTTTGAGTGTATTATTGCTCATTAACACCAGGATCCTTTCTTGTGGTTCTTCTGCTCATGTGTAGGATGTATTTGTGTGTTTGTTTGTTTTTATTTTTTGTTTGTTTGGTTTTTTTTACTATTGTTTTTATTGGGTTTTTACACTGGAATTTTTTTTTAAGTTATTTAAAATTTCATTTGAAGTTTACATAGGAAAGTAAAAACTCCT